ACCCTTTTATGTAATGATGTTTACTTTGAATTTATATTAGTTCACACAAACACTCCATCCATGCTTTTGTTCCGGCCCTCCGGTCCAGTTTAAGAACCCATTGTGGCCCTCGAGTCAAAAAGTTTGCTCACCCCTGCACTAGACGATGGCCTTACGCCAAACCGGCGGGAGCGACCCGCCTCGTCTCAAATCCGTGAGGGGAATACACATCCCTCAAATCCGTGAGGGGAATACACATCCCTCAAATCCGTGAGGGGAATACACATCCCTCAAATCCGTGAGGGGAATACACATCCCTCAAATCCGTGAGGGGAATACACATCCCTCAAATCCGTGAGGGGAATACACATCCCTCAAATCCGTGAGGGGAATACACATCCCTCAAATCCGTGAGGGGAATACACATCCCTCAAATCCGTGAGGGGAATACACATCCCTCAAATCCGTGAGGGGAATACACATCCCTCAAATCCGTGAGGGGAATACACATCCCTCAAATCCGTGAGGGGAATACACATCCCTCAAATCCGTGAGGGGAATACACATCCCTCAAATCCGTGAGGGGAATACACATCCCTCAAATCCGTGAGGGGAATACACATCCCTCAAATCCGTGAGGGGAATACACATCCCTCAAATCCGTGAGGGGAATACACATCCCTCAAATCCGTGAGGGGAATACACATCCCTCAAATCCGTGAGGGGAATACACATCCCTCAAATCCGTGAGGGGAATACACATCCCTCAAATCCGTGAGGGGAATACACATCCCTCAAATCCGTGAGGGGAATACACATCCCTCAAATCCGTGAGGGGAATACACATCCCTCAAATCCGTGAGGGGAATACACATCCCTCAAATCCGTGAGGGGAATACACATCCCTCAAATCCGTGAGGGGAATACACATCCCTCAAATCCGTGAGGGGAATACACATCCCTCAAATCCGTGAGGGGAATACACATCCCTCAAATCCGTGAGGGGAATACACATCCCTCAAATCCGTGAGGGGAATACACATCCCTCAAATCCGTGAGGGGAATACACATCCCTCAAATCCGTGAGGGGAATACACATCCCTCAAATCTGTGAGGGGAATACACATCCCTCCTGGGGAGTGGAACGTCTTCTAACTCTCCTCCGCCTGTGGTCTTTCACGGCGCGTCCGCCTAGACCCCTCAGGCACTTACAGATTCCCAAAACGAGCTCACACAGAACAGAACACACAACGACACAGACACCTACCGCGGTCAGTCAGACTCTTCGGATTGAGGGTCCCTACATGGTCTTGGGAATCCTGGATGAGCCCCCAAATGTTATGCCCAGATTTCAAGATTCCCAAGAAACCACACCAGGGAGCCAGCCATGTCCGATGCAAAAGCATAAGAGTCTGTATTCGAGCTAGCTCGGCTCCCCGACCTTGCCGACACAGCAGCAGGAAGCAGAGAGAGAGAACTCTGTGTGGAGAGGGGTTTTATAGGGGGGTTGGAGTAAGGGGAGGAGAAAGGACTGTGGGCCCTGCCGATTGGCCAGGCGCAAGTCGGTGTCTTGTTCCTGGGTGTGGCTAGCAGAGGCTTAGACTTCCAGGAAGAAGCTCCTTGCCAAGCACGTGGCTGCCCCAAAATGGAGGACACATGGTAAGATGGAGGGCGTAGTCCTCGCCCTCTCAATTCTAATGTGCAGCCACGGTTGAAAGCCACTGGCCTAGGGCCTATGCTAGGCTCTTCCACCAGCTGGGAGTGTGGCTTCTTGGGTGAGGGAGCTTCTGAGTTAAGGTCAAGGTGCCTTCACATCTAATCTGCTCTCAACAAAGACCAGCTGACCTGAGAGCACGCTTGAGACAGGAGGTGAAGGCCAAGGTCAGGAGCAGTAGATAGGATGGAGATAGGGGAGGAGCAGGGCGAGTCGAACCTCTGACTCAGGACCGTGTGCTGCTGACCTGCTGCGACCTTGGAGGTCACCCAGGCTTAGTGCACGCATTGGAGGCAGGGCCTCACATGACTACCCCTTCTTTCTGCTCTTCTGAGTTCGGCTGAGGTCCTGCTCTGGGAGAGGGCTGTCGCAGAGCTACAGCGGAAGCACACTGCTGTGCCTTCGCCCATCCCCACGGGGCAGCCTCGGGGCTGTGGCTTGTTCACCCTGCACTTTTGGCTTGAGTGGCTACCACTTCCTTGCTGCACCCCTGGAACAAGGGGCTTGGCTGAGGGCCAGGGGGTATGGAGCCAGAGTTAGAACAGTTTGAGGACCCAAGGTGAGAACCCAGAGCTGTCACAGGCTTTGAACAAAGTACAGAAGTCCCTGCTGTGCAGTTTGGGGCTGGTTTGTGGAGGTGATTAGATGCCTGTCAATATCAGCAGCTCCGCCCTGTACCTCTCCAGGCCTCTTGCTGCAGCCCCAGGCTGCACACTCTTGCTCCGCTGAGTGTTTCTTGCTCTCCCCATGCTGCTCGCACTCACACAGGTCTTCCATGTCTGTTGATTGATTGACTGGCTCAGGGAGAACAGCAGGGAGGTGGGGATGGAGAATAGACTGGGGCATAAACCTCCTGAAGATTTCCTTCCTGGAGGGGAGAGCTGGCCCAGGGGGCGTGATGTTGGGGCTGATGCCTCCTGCTCAGCCCACGCCACCAGCTGCAGGGCAAACCTTCTGGGCTGGAGCAGCCTGGCAGTGTCCTACTGACTGCGACCCAGGGACCAGACTCTCCAGTGTGTGATGGACATGGTCATGGTGAGACACAACTCCAACGCTGGGGGCGTCCCTGCTCACGTCTCCGACCTCTGCCCTCTCTAATGGCCTGTTTACATGCCTGCTCCCCTCAGTGCTGATTCTTGTGCTGAGGAAAGAGGAGTGTTAGAGGGCAGGGCCCTGCACGTTCCTGCCACAGGGCCTTTGCCCTTCCTTCCTCTTCCCCGGGCGGGAACTGCCTTCCTCTAGATCTTCACCTGGCTGCACCCCGAGTCCTCTCCCCGTAGAGAGCCTCCCTCAGCAATAATCTTCCCTCCCGTGATGCTCCAGCCCGTTTCTCCTGCTCTATTTTCTTCATGCACTTGTTGCTACATGCAGTTAGGTTCCTGTGTACATGTGTGTACATTTGCGTGTATATATGTTGTTAGTTTACTTTTTCATGTTCTGTCTTCCCCACTTCACATAAGTTACATGAAAGCAGGGGCCTCGTCTGTCTTTCTGATTACTGTCTCTGCAGGGCCTAGAACAGTGCCTGACACAAGTAAGTGCCCAACAAACCCTTATGAAAGAAGGAAAGGAATTGAGGAAGGGAGGGAGGGAGGAAGAGAAGGGGAAAAGGCATGGAGGAAGGGAGGGAGGGAGGGAAGAAGGAGGAGAGGGAAAAGAAAACAACTTCCTCCTGACCCTCCCTACTCCCCCCGACCCCCCACCCCCCACCCAGGGCTGCACAGAGACACTGGGAATTGGGAAAGGCCGCCCCTTTCGTTGCCTCCCACCTTGGGTGCCCAGTGCTGTTGTGCCACCTCCTGCACCCAGCTGGTCCCCACCACGGCTGCTCATCCATCTCACAACCCGTTCCTTCGGGGTCTGCAGAGGTAAAAAGCCGGCCTGACCTGATTCTTGTCGCTTCTCCACCCATCCTGCAGCGTGATTCTGGCTCATGGGCAGGTGGTCACTCAGCCTCCAGGTCATCTTGGGACACACAGCCTTTGATGTCCCTCAGCATCATCCCCTCGAATTCTGGAGGTCTCATGTGACTCCTTGTCTTTAGCGGTGGCTCGGGAAGCGGTGGCCAACCCCCTGCCTCGCTGGCTGCCGCATGGCGGCTGCTCTGCTGGGGGCTCCTACTGCTCCTGCCGGGGCTGCTGCCTTTCTGGCCAGCTCTGCTCCCCCTGAAGCTGGAACATAGGTTTTCCCCCCGAGTGACTATTGTTCCATTGTAAGCTCATCACAGTAGCCATGTGCTTTCCCATGCAGCCTGGCTTTCTTTGCAAGGAAGTTGGGGCAAGTTCCTCAGGAACTCTGTCTACTGGTCAGGGTACGTGTCTTTCCATTATTTGCTGTGCCAAGGCCAGGCCACCTCCCTGAGCTGGGGCAGCTTTGGTTCAGGCATGTTGATTTAGGCAGCGGCCCCAGCGACCGAGTACAGTGCCTCTTCCACCTCCTTCCAGCACAGCAAGGTCTTGCTCTGAGAGAGAGAGAGAGAGAGAGAGGTCAATTTGTTGTCCCACTTATTCACGCACTCATTGGTTGATTCTTGGGTGTGCCCTGAACTGGGGATCGAACCCGCACCTTGGTGCATCAGGACTATGTGTTAACCAACTGAGCTACCCGGCCAGGGTGCTCTTGCTCCTTTAGCTGTGTCTTTGGCCAGGAACACTCCTGCCCACTGTCCCTTTGCCAGCTTAACCCCTGCTCGCCCTGTAGCTCTATGTTCGATGCCACATGCTCCAGAAGCCTCCCCTCACCCTCACATCTGGCTTAAGCACCCTCTTTATGTGCTGACTCTTAAGGCTGTGCCTGTCACATTCATTGTTATAGCCCCAATGTTGCCCAGCACTTGCCACATGGAAGGGACTCGATAAAACTGCTGTAAAGAGTGAATGAATTCTGTGTCCAGCGTTTGCATCTCACAGGGCCTTGGGCCTTGGGACTGGGGGACCCCGTCTCCCATGCCTTCTGGATTCTCTGCAGCCCAAACACGTGCCCAGTAGAAGTGAACTGGGTGTGCGTGTGCTGGGGGAGGGGGAGGGGGGAAGCTGTGCTGGGAGGGGCCACAGTGGCTAGGAGGCCCCTCGCCTGTCCTCCCCAAACAGGAAAAAGGGTAGGGTTGCCAGATAAAATACAGAACACACACTTAGATTTAAATTTCAGATAAACAACATATACATTTTTAATATATGCCATGTAATATGTGGGGCATACTTATGCCAAAAAAAAATTAAATTTAAATGGGCCTCCTGGATTTCTCCTTCTTTCTAAATCTGGGGACCTTAGCAGGGCAGTCGGGATCAGCAGGTGCTGGGGATCTCAGGTCCTGTTTACATGGGACATTCTGTTCACGGTCTTGCTTTTTCCTGCTCCTTAAATGCTTTTGGCCAAGAACAGCGTGAGCCCCAGGCGTGGTTCCCAGCACTGTCGCCAGGGCACATAATGCAGGGCATCTCCTGCATCTCCACCTGACCCCAGCCACTGGGTGGGCAGGGAAGGCCTTCCTGAGGAGGGCACGTTCCGAGTTGAGATTTGAAGGAATGAGCCAAATGATGGTGGGGTGGTGGCCGTGGGAATGAACTTGGTGAGTCTGAAAGCATGAGGCTAGAGTAGTGCTGCGAGTGTGCGAGGGGCGGAGTTTGCATGGAAAACGTCCTGGACCACATCCGAGGTCCCCAAGAAGGGGCCCGAGGCTGCTGTCCTCGCCACCCCAGCTGGAGGGGGGCCTCCAGGGCAGGAGTCTCAGCAGCAGCGAGGGGGCAGGAAGGGAGAGTGTTCGCCATCCGGGGCTGGGGATTCTGCTAACAGGGGGCAAGGCCATGGATCCTGGTGCTTGACTACAGTTTGGTGGGATCGCCTACTCTTTGAAATGACTGGGTGGAGTCATGCGCCCTTAGAACGAGGCCCCATGTGGCTGGTCCCCAGGGAGGCAGCCAGCCTCACTCAGAGAGCCATGTCCATCCTCTCTCCACCGAAGCTGCCCCCTGAGAGCACTGCTGGCAGAGTGTGTTCTCTCCTCTGAGGGC